CTTGGCTCGGCTTATGCGTTTGAGCAAAACTTCCCGCATTTCGGAAATTATTTGAAAGCGATTCGGGACAAGGAGGCAGCGGAAGGGCTTGCGAAGCTTAGGTGATATTTTCGTTAGTCTCTTCTTCTATTTTCCTTTTATTTTAAGGTTATTCTTACCTAAACATTCTATGTCGTTTTAAAAATGGTTCTTATATTTCAATAGCTTACAAGAGTTCGTTTCATAAAAAGAACGCTAATTAAGAACGTAATTAAGCCTTGTTGGCTGCCAATATTATGCACACTTAAAACTATGGTTTTATCATCATTTTTTTGAAAGAGGTACAGTTTTATAAAAAATTGATGACCAATAAGCTGACAATTAATGATTTTACTGACCGTTTTGGTCACAGATATAGAAATTCAATGCCGAAAAGCCAATTACACAATTGTTTTCTTTTTTTTCTTGGTGTAATCATATTAAACAATTTTGCGTATTTAATAGCAATAATTGAACATGATTCACAGAAATATGTCTTGTGTTTATTGTATTTATAAATGGCTGCGTAAAATGGAATGCAGCAGCATTCCATTTCGTGTAGCCATTTTTCTTAATTTGTTTCACAATATGAATTCGGAATTCTTGGAGCATTTTACTCATTACTTTCATTTCATGTCGAGTTCTTCAATCATTTCATTATTCCGTTTGCACATTCTGTAAATATTCATTGCATTCGAGGAAGCTTTTCCGTCCGCTTTTCGCCGAAGGAAAAGTACTCAATGGTGCCATGTTTTCAATTTTTTTCTTCGCTTTTTGCTTTGTGGGGTTACTTTAACGTGTTTTGCTTTTGTTTTCGGCTTCATTACATTGAAGTTTTGTTTTGCCCTGCCATTGCCTTCGGTTGGTTTTTATTGTCTGCGTTTTTTTGCTTTAAGTATTTTTCTGTTGTTTTTGCTTGTTTGTGGAAATTAAGCTTTGAAAAATGACTGCACACACAGAGTCACACACAGTGCAACTTCTGCACACATAAGTATTTGGAAAATTACTTTCATTTGTGTGTGCTTCGTTTGGGTTGTTATTGTCGAAGGAGTAGCCTGGCAACTGGTTTAGGTCCTGCCGATCCTTACCCCATGCTCCTCCGTTGCCTTCCTGTTTTTGTGGCTTTCGGAGAAAGCATTTTCATTTATATTTAGTTCTTCTCTCGCCGCTTTCCTTTTGGCCATTATCAAAGTCCCCTTCCCTTCAGCATTTGTAAATTGCAAAAATGAAATTAAGTTCACACTTTGTCATGTGGGGACATTTACGGTTTTTAATTGTTTGTGCGCTGTGTTGAGCACTTGAGTTGGAGTGCTGGCGAAATGGGAAAATGGGAAAAGTGCGGGCAATGGGGGAAATGTTGCCTACTTTTCGGGGTTAAAATGAGTAATGAAAGCCCTCCGTCCTGTGTACATTAATAATTTCGTTAAACATTTGCCCATGTGTGTGTGCCTTTCTAATTAGAAATTATTCTTGGCATTAAATGAGGGACCCTTTCGTCCTGGAGCCCACTTTAACTTGAACTTCCCGGGTCCTTCCTTCCTTGATGTCCTTCAACATTTGTAAGTCGAACAGCTGCACCTGCCATTCAGTATTCCGATGGCCATCTTCTGACAATCGCATTTCGTTTTTCTCCCTGTTTAATTTATGATTCTCCCACGGTTTCCGACTTTTAAATAAAATTTCACGGTTTTATTTATAGCGTTTTCCTTCCATTTTTCTTGCTATAGTTGCTCAAAAAAACTATGTATCTATATAAAATAAACTTACTTTATGATAGTAAACACTCATTACAAAACTAAATATGTTTTCTGAAATTACTGAATTTTAATAGAAATAAAGACCCATTATTAGGTTTGTAGGAATGTATTCTTAACACGTAAATATTTAATAACCCATTTATCCCAGCCTTTTATCTCTTTTGTATTTATTTTATTAAGCAATTCCCCAAAGCCAACTTATTTAGTCGGCTCAATCATGTGTAATTTTCGGTTGTCTGTGTTTTATCTGTTAGAGAGTTTTCAGGCCGGTCTGTGAACTTTCCGGGTTTCCCTTTTTTGCCCCTTTATTCCTTGTGGGTTTCTTTTTCTTATACTTTTTCTGTGTTGTCTGGCTCATCAAGTTGTAATCTCATTTGAGAAGGAAACCAATTTTGCAACCGATTTACATTCGCTTGCGCTTTTCGGCGATGGCATCGGGGAATATGCGGTGTGTTTAAGGAGTCTGCTCGCTTATCTGACGCCTCTGACATAATATATGGCGCAGTTCTTATGTTGTGTTGCATGCACCGAAAAAAATGAAGACCAGAAGTTCACAATATATTCCATGACTGGAACTACATTCCAAACTAAATGGTAGTGATTAATTGAAAAGCAGTCATGTGTTTCATCGAAGTAAATTATGCTTCCTTTTTCTATTTATTGTACTATTGAACTTCAGAATCTATCAATTTAAAGAGCGTCGAGTAAGTATATTAAAATTTAAATAGTTTCAAATCGCATATGAACTATATTTGAGTAGAAAAGATTCAAATAAAATAACAGACTACAAAAAATCTTCAAAAATGGAAAGGCGTTAAAAAAATACGTCAAAATAAAATGTTTTCCCTCCAAAGGAATTAAAAAACTAAGAATACATATTTTATGCTATATATCCTAAAGCTTGTTAAACATTACATTTAACACCTTCTTTAATAATTTTACATCCATTTCAGATCTAGCGTTTCTCCACCTTGACAATTATTTTTTTCAGTGCACACATATAGGGTCGAGCCTTACCTTACTTCTGGCCAAGTCCAGGACGATCCCCTTCCGCTCCCATCTGGCAGCAATTACACTCGCCCTAGCACCCGGCCTGATGACTTGGCTTTGCTTTCAATTCGGTTGCACTTGCCAAGAACCCCAAAAACCCCAAAAAACCCCCGAAGAAAAATGGAAAACAAAAAAGCCAAGCCGGCTGACAAATGGAAAATGAAAAACCAAACCAAACCAAACCAAACCAAAGGAAAGCAAACCAAAAATGTTTTGATATTTGTTTTTGGCCCCGAGACTGTTTTGGCATCGGTGGATGCGGTCAGAGATTAGTTTGAGATTACAGAGCCCGCAAAACACTAACCATAAAAATCGGAGAGTAATAAAATAGAAAATAATTAGTGAGGACGACAAAGAAGAAGCTCCTGGCAATTTCCTTGATGTCAAATGGACCGGAAATTGATAAGGACACATCAATTTGTAGCCATGTTTCGGATGGCTGAGGCTCGCTAGCCATAAGCTGCCGAAAAAGGACGAAGGATCCCCGGGGATTTGTGCTGTTAAGTGTGGCCGCAGCGAAATTTAATTGCATAGTGAAATGAATTATGAATTGATGAAATTTCGCTTTTCGACCAGTAATTGGAACGCTCCTCCATTCGATGGCCATTAAGTGCCCCCGACATGGCCTACAACAGCTGTTGCTACATCGCTCAACATGGCTTTCCACACCCATTTCCCCCGCCTCGATTTCCCCCCGCTTTTCCTTCTGCAAATATTTGAATTTAGAGGCTGGGAGATGTTCGGCCAACATCGGAGCAATCGTTGCCACTTCTCAGCCTGTTGCTTGCCGCACCCAACAAATAATACTCGGAGCTCACCCCCCCCACCTCCATTCAATTCTTAACCCACTGGCGCCCAGCCGCCTTTGTGGCCGTCTAACAATGCCGGGAAATGATTAATTTATTGAAATTTACGCTTATTGCCGTTCTCACAAAATTTTTATTTATGCCCTTTTATTTGGACAAGCGGTGCCGATAATTTGTCAAAAAGTCGTAAATTATAATAATACAAAAAGCCAAGAATCAGACACAAAAGTTTAAGCTGAGACGAGGAAAAGGAGAAAAGGTGGTGGGTTTTCCTTAACTTAGTGTTGCTATACCCTTAAATTTAACCTAAAACAAATTTTATAAAATTGAACATTCATTTTGGAAATTGATTTCAATATATTATATTTACATTTACAATACTGAATTTATGCTGGCAGAAAATAGTAGCCAATAAATACTAATTCCTTAAGCCTTTCGGCAGGGTATTACACTGAGGAAACCACAGAAAGAATATTTGTGTGTGTGTCTAAGATTAAAGAAAGAGAGGGGAACACACGGTTGAAGCGAGAGGAGGATAATAAGAACCGAGCATTCAATTTGCTTGTGGTTTTTTCAGAGGGACGAGCTGAAGAATTGTGGCTTGTGGTTCAGCCGCACAACTTTGTGTGTCCAACATCTTCGTTGAAGAAGGGGAGGGGGTCCTTCCCCACTCCACCCCCTCCCCCACTCAAGTGTGTGTGTGTGTGACAAAGATAAACACATTTCAGCATTTCGACAGCGGCAACGATAACGCCTTCAATTATTAATTATTATCACCGCAAAGCCAAATGTAAAAGCTTCAATTAAAACTTACGCACACACCAAAAGCGCCTGGATACCTGAACGTATTATGCACTGAGAAAATAGTAGGTACTTTAATTAAATACCGGCAAATAAGCCTGTTGATATCCATCTGTACTGTCTATTGCCAATAAAAGTAGACTTCGAGTTAAATAAATCAGAGTTATGGTAGTTATATTTGCATGCCAACTACTTCTACATGGCAAAATTCTTTATTTTGATCTTATTTTAAAAAGTTAGATATTTTAATAATACTTATCATTAAAATTTAAAGAAACAATGTGCTTCGCAATTAAAATATAAAGAAAAATTAACTGTCATAGAAACACTATTGTTATTATTATTATTTCTGTACTCCTCAAAAATCTTAAAAATATGTCTAAAATGGCTTTAGCTTAACTAAACTGTCTTATTTCTCAGTATTTTTTCCTGTGCATCCATCACACACGACACACACAAAGAAAAGCAACTGCATTGCTCGACTCCTGCCCCAGATTTTATTTTCATTTTGTTTTTTTTTCCCCCGCCCTGTTGTTAATGATTTATACAAGGATTAATTTATACTCACTAATGGATTTCACTTGGCAATGTCCTGCCAGCATTCAATATTATCAATTACTCTGCCTCACAGCCGCTGTAGAGTGCGAAGAGTGTGCCTGGGAAAACAAGACGGGAAAAGAGGAAAATTAAGCAAAATTAATTATGGCCCAGTAAGCAACATTGCCACACCGCATGCAAATTGCTGGGTATTTATTTTATGGCATTTCTTTTGCATTTCGCTCCGTGGCTATTTTATTGATTTCCCCCCCTTTTCAGGTGGAGCGAAAAAGGGCGGTTGTAAAGTAAAATAAAATAGCTCAAGTGCGAGATCAAACGGAGCTCGCATAAAAATCAACTAATTTGCACACTTCCCCATGCAAAGGTCCTTCGAAGGACTGCAAATAGAGGCGGAAACCGAGGAAGGACGCTCTGCTAACGGCTGTCAATAAAATAAATGAGCGCCATTAGCAGCGGAAAATGATGAACACTTGAAAGTGTTTCGCCGGCTAGCATCGAACAGACACTAAGACCACGCCCACTTTCCACTTGCCACTTGCCACTTGCCACCGCTCAAGAAAAAAAAAACCCGGACGGAGGAATATAGAATATACACAGAAGTAATCGCAATGGAAATGGATGAGGGGACAATGCAAAACATTGGCTACGAAATGACCCGGAAGGCCAGGCAGTGAGGCAAGTGATTTTGTTTGCGTATGGAAATGGACTGGTGTCTAATATCTGATATCAAGGAAAATTAAAATTCAGGATAAACCAATAAAATGATTCACAAAATGTAACAAAAATGTAGTGTCATTTGTTAATAAATAAAATGCACTCTTTTAAAAGCTTAGCACCAACTGAACGTGGCTAGTTGAAAGGCAATTAGACAATAAGGTATTTTTAAGCAGCCTTAAAATATAATATTATAGTAAATATACGACAAATATGTATTTATTATTATTTAGCAGATAAACTTTGTCAAACAATCTCCAAGATGCCTTTTAAGAGACTTAAGCTGTTGTAATTTAAGAACAGACAATTTTTTTGTTAATTTAATTAAAATCCCTCTAAATTGGCATTTTTCCACTGTGCGTTTTTTCTGCACCCTGCCAGTTGACTAGATCGCAAGATAGTGAGCCAGACGTCTGCTGGTGGTTTTCCGAGTGGGTTTTCCGCCACCCCAGTGGGTGGAAAACGCCTGGTGGGCGAGAGGGGGGTTTTGGCAGTTGTGTGGGTCACAAAGCCGAAGGCAAACAAGTCGCGTACATTTGTGCAAATAAAATTTGCTTGAATAATTTTATGAATGGTAGACAAACTGTTAAAGCAAGAGCATAGGAAAATGGAAATAGAAAAGCGGGGAAAAAATGCGGCGAACAGGCGGCAAACTATTCCAAGGAAAAGCCGGTAAAAAATGTGGAAAAAAGTGTGCGCCATAACATGCAATTTATTATTACATCAAAGGGTTAATTGCACAAATGGGCGAGTGTGTGTGCCTTTTCTTGCGGTGCATTTTCCACGTGCCGCCAAACTCTCCATGTCCGTGTGTGTGTGGTGTTTAAATAAACGACAACACTTGAAATAAATTGCAGCAAATCAAGTTAAATAAATTGCGCGAATGTGCGAAGCCCAAGGACAAAAAGGCGGAGAGTCGTTATCACTCACACACTCACACCATGATTTTCCATTTTCCTTTTACACACACGCCTGTGTGTGTATGCCAGGCATATCGTCATCTGGAAACTGGCATTTCTGCGGGCCCTGAATTTTATTTCCCTCTATTTTCCCAGCCCCTCCCTTAATTTTAAAATTAATGTGTAGTTGCTACGTGCGCGTTAACAATCACTCGCGATTTTTTATTCAAGTAATTTGAGGGCCATTCTTCTCATTATGGGGAGTATTAAATTTCCAAAAGTCCAACAAATGAAAAAGTAGTTTCTGCCAGCAAACCAATCAGATATCAAAGTTTCGAGCTGATATTTGACGTTAATTAGTGGACTGCGCAAGCAAAAAAGATCCAATTCGGAATATTGGGTTTCGTTTGGAGTACGTCAACATTTCTCATTAACTTTTCAAATAGCAGCTAACTTGGTTTATGTTGTTTTTTTGCGATATAGAAGAAATTTGAGGTATTATTCTGTGCAAAAATACTTTTTGTATAATAAGCTTTTAAGCTAAAAAATAAGTATTTATTGAAGCGAATAATACATTATTAAATAAAGGAATAAACATAAGAGCTATTGATTTAGTTACTTGTACCTTTGGTGCAATACAAATCATTTTGTTGTAGCTCCTTTTAATTTTTTTTTTGAATGCACAACATTTGAAGAATATTGCGTTAAAATTTTAGATTCATTCCAGTAAAACTTCCGAAGTTATGGGCAGTTGAACGTAGGTGAGTTAGCTCGTTTTGTATGCGATTTTGCGATGTCCAAAACTTTAAAAACGCTCTCCTGAAAAGTAGCAATTTCAAAGTCGGTGAACACGAACCTGCAACAATTTCTGTACCTAAATCCGCAAGTACTGATAACTAATAAACAATTTTGTTTTGGTTTTTTCTGATGATACAGTAACGAGTTCTGCTGTTCACCGCATAATCTTGTTTCTTGGAGGCGCCTAATTAGCTTTGCTGTGAACGGCTCATTTATTTTTATACCCGTTACTCGTAGAGTAAAAGGGTATATTGTATTCGTGCAAAAGTATGTAACAGCTAGAAGGAAGCGTTTCCGACCCTATAAAGTATATATATTCTTGATCAGGGTCACTAGCCGAGTCGATATAGCCATGTCCGTCTGTCCGTCTGTCTGTCTGTCCGTCTGTCCGTCTGTCTGTCCGTCCGTATGAACGCTGAGATCTCGGAAACTATAAAAGCTAGAAGATTGGCATTTTGCATGCAGATTCTAGGAGTTCCTACGCAGCGCAAGTTTGTTTCAAAAAGGTGCCACGCCCTCTTTAACGCCCACAATCGCTTATATACGATTTTAAAAATTTTAATATTTCGGAAAAGTAAAAATGCAGTTTTATTGTGTTTATCAATACCTATCGAAATGTAGAAGAAATTTTTCAAATCGGACCATTCGTTAAAAAGTTATGCGTGATCAAAGTTTCTATCTCCATCTCCCTCGCACTCCCTTTACCTGAGTAACGGGTATCTGATAGTCGGGGCACCCGACTATAGCGTTCTCTCTTGTTTTTTATTAAAATTTGTGAAAACGTAGTTTAAATGTTGTACTTTAATATGGTTATAGAATAATTCATCTGAAATTAACCGTATCGCATAAAAAAAATCATGAAAATAGGCCTTTTTTGGCCGAATTGACCATACCGCCCCCTTAAGAAAGGAAAAATATAATTAAAAAAACATATTTCATTGTACTACATTAATTAAAGTTACAATGCCTTGAGAGTGCCTTTCCGCCAGACACCATGTCCGTCCAAATGATTGACACTCCGGGCGGTGGAATGTGCATTAACTGCCACGCCCCCTCCGGCAGATTAGTTTGGTCGGGCGTGGCAGGATCAATTAACGGCGCAATTAACAGTGCGTAATTGGTTTCCACATTAATCGTTTTCGTTAATCAATTGAGTTCACATCACCGTTTATTTCAAGTGCAAACTTGTCACATTTCTAGGAATTTTCAGCCAACACTCAGGGCTCTGTTAAATTATTTATTTATATTTACTGACTGAAACCAAAGGCGCACATATGTACGTCTGGTTTATTTATTTAGCGTAGACAGGGGAGTGGTTCCCCTTTTATGATTCTGATTTCTAGGCCACAGTGAAAAAAACGTTAATAATGTTCGTGGTTATAAAGAAAAACTGAAAATATGAGATGTGACTAGGAATTTTATTAGACTAAATAAGTTCATACTTTAGAATACCACAAACTCTAATTATGAATCTTTTTTTAAAAACAAATTTTAAGGTTATGACGCATTGTAAAACGTTATATTTAAATTTTAAGTTTTATTGTTAAATTAGCTGGATCTCTAGTATTTTATTTATATCTTAAAGTTAATGTTGTGCTGCAAGTATGCAAATATCCATTTTCGAAATATTAATAACATTGAGTGGCATTAATTATTCATTAAATTACTGCATTCTGAAGACATTGTTTGGTTCAAAACTAAGGCATTAAAAAACTTGCCTACATTTATTAGTATATTTTAAAATGAAATACTTTTGAAGTAAAAAGGTCCATGATAGAAAATACAACGAATTTCTGTCCGTGTCTTAGATTTTTTACCATCAGTCCCCAAAGGGAAGTATACTTTGATTAAGTGCGTGCTCCGACATTCCGGCTGGGAGATTGACTCATTTACCCATTTTTGATGGAATGTCGCCAACTAAAATGCCTTCCACTTTCCCGCCCACCCAAGGCTGCCCCGCCCACTAGCCGACGCCCCCCGCTTTTCACATTTTCCCGGCGCCCACCAAGTTTATCGCGTTGTTTGCCGTTTGCGTTGTTTGCCTTTGCCGCTTTGTCAACAAAAAAAAAAGGAAAAGAAAAGGCAACAAAGAACAGCGGGGAAATGCCGGGGGAAAAACGGATGGAAAGCTGGGGAAAAGCGGGCCCGAAAGTAAACGAAAAGGGTTGTAAAAACGTAATGGCGAGTTAAATAAAAGAGGGGGCCAGAAATATGCCAACACTCACAGGGGCGAAAAATGTACAAAAATATATATTCAAAAGTGTCATAAATGTAATACAACTTTTCCTTTATGACAACTGCATATGTGTGTGTGTGTGTAGTGTCGTTTGTGTTGGCGCGTTGTTCGAGGGCCACTCTCCAGAAACTTCTCTCCGGCCAATAAAAATAAAAATAGAATTCAAGTAAAATAAATAAAATGAAATAAAGGAGGCGGCCAACTAAAAAAAGCAAACATTCCAATAGCGATGTAAACTTTGTCCGCCCACCACACGAGCATGTGTGTTTTGCTATCTTCAATAACGCGTTTTTGTTTTCCGTGCTAGGCAATTTTCTCTGGCCTAAACTTTTAGGCCAGGTAGCTGCATTGGCTTACATCGAAACTAGCCAAAATGCCGACAAATGAAAGAGGCCAACTGAATTATAAATTTGAAATTTGGGCTTGCCAATCGTACGATACAAAATAAAGT